ATGTTATTATTTATATTTGACACATGATGCACAAGGAACTGTAAAGCACACTATGAAAGTATTTATAACCTTGAATGTCTAGAAAATACAAAAATTGGTCTCTATTTTTACCCCACAATAATATTGTTACATTGGTTCAAATTACTGTATATCAACATTTGAGAGTATCAGTCGTATTGATTCATAAATGAATCAAACTGTATACTGTCTTTACACACGTTAAACATATACCAGCCAGTCAATGACTGACCACTATTGCATCGACATCAATAATATATATATTGATTATAAAGGTCTTGGAGATTTCAGAATGTGCATAAATTCAAGTCATATATTTTGCTTATTTTCCAATGTTTTTTGCGAGATCCCAAAAGCTGTGAAGGATTTATAATTTGTGATATAAGACACTTTTCAATTTCAAATTCACAAAAAAATCTATTTTTATCAATAGACTTATATTTCTTGTTTAAAAATTGAACATACTCAGCATCATGATTCCTTTCATAAACTGCAGTGCTCCAAAAACTTCTGACAACAAGTATACATGTATGTGTGTGTCATTCAAGTTTTGTGCATGAAGTTTAAGAAAATTGCTATTTACAGGATCTTGCATTAACAGGATGACATTTTAGTTCAAAAATGATGAATTTCAAGTAGAACTGAAAAGTGTATCTACAAGTACCCATTTTCCAGTTTGGCCATAAAAAGATACAGAGTCAGCCTGAAATATCTAGGCACGGTTGGGATACCAGAAACACATTATTTTGTTATTTTGCCTAATATTGCAAAGATTTCTGTATAATAAAAAAATCAGCATTGTTGTAAGTAATGATATATTTCTGATAATTAAACTACATAATTTTGACTGCCAGGACTTTTTCATAGCAATCATGAAGACAAAATACTATGAAAATCGCTGGCATTCCATGTCGTAGGACCCCCACAGGAATTTTCAGTGCTGCAAAATTTCATAATTGCCACTGGCTTGTGAAAATTTGTTATGTCATTCCTTTACATGCGGGCTAACAATATTGATGATATCTTTTCAGATTGGGAAGCTTATGGGAAATTTAACTGTACATACCTTATAAAGAAGTACCCAGATGTGGAGTATTTTGATTGGCAGGTAATGTGTGGCCATTACATTCGCTAGAAGTTTCTATACACTCAACTTCTTTTCTTGGAGAGTTTGATCTTGACTGATTCATTTGACTTTATACCACAAAGTGTGATGTCATACTTACATGTCATAAAGTACATCCATTAGTTTCATCTGTTTATTGGTCTTGTTTAGGGCTGTTAATTATTTGAATGACAGTGGTCGTCGTACCACGCATGCGGGAGATATGTGGGTCTCATATGAACAAAGATGGCGACTTTGACCTTTGCATAGACTAATGGGTACAAATGGGGCGTAACCAAGCTTTGACTGGGTAATTTATTTGGTGATTGAAAGGTATCAATGGAGTCATTGATGCAACTTAGTGCACGTTGTGTCCAGGTCAAAACTCGTACTCGTGATTTCCATTCAAAAAGTGCATTGAATTATGGGTAAATCAATGTTTATCAACACAAATGTCGCACATGGGCTTACCAGTAGTTGCTAACCATTTTTCGAGGTGATCACAATAACCAAAAAAACAACAAAATGGAAATATAACTTGAATTTTTTTTTTGAAAGTGTTTATTTAATCTCATAACTAACATACAATAGCCTGTGTGCGTTAAAAGTTAATTCATTCATTCAAAGTTGTAGCATTTTTTTCAAAACCTAGACACTAAATATTGAACAGGGGTTGCTATAGTATTTTAACTTTTCCTATATTACTTATAGCGAGTCAGTCAAACTGAACTGTTTGTTTGTTTGTTAATTATAGGGAGGACGCCGACTTCCGTTGCGGTATATTACTGAACGATGGGATGAATCTGAATGGCAATGCATCAGTGGATATATAGATATGTCACTGGAAGTTAATGAAAAATACATACACGTATGCATCATTTATCTTATCTTAAATTCCCATAATGCATTGCAATCACATACCTGTTTCGACAAAATGTTTTATGCAATTGCAAGAAGTCTGTTTCAAGGTTTATTTGTGCAAGATCACAGCTTCAGAAATTTTGTGGCAATATTATCTCCCTTGAAGACTACTTAATACGTGTAAAGTGTTTACACCATACAAAATAATACAGTGCATTTTGCCACAGAAACAAAATTCCATATTTCCGTACTTGACAGGGCTGTGTGACCATCTTTCATTCATTATTTAATGAGTTATCCAGTGTGCTTCTAACTGGAATGATCTTGCAGAGATCCTGAATCAAAGTGGATATTCGTAAATCAAGTTGTTGACTTCAAGCTGAAGAACAACTTAAAATCATATGTTCCTGTTGTGGCTCCTGATTGTCTATAATATTTATATATCAAATTAAAAATTCTGTTACTGTAGAATATTTTATTTTCGCTATTTTCACTGAAGGATTGATTCAGTAAAAATAAAATCCAGCAAGTATATCTTTCTCCCTATATTTTATATTCAACTCGTCAAAAATCAGTGAAAATAAAATCCATACAAAATACCCAAAAAGTCTATTCAGTGAAAGTTAATTCCAGCTAAAATAAAGTATTTACGGTAACATTACTATAGTAAGATGCAGTTCAAGAAATCCGTGGCATATGGTGGCCATTTTGTTTATCCTATTGTATAATAATGCATTAATGAACTTGAGATTAGGGCAAAATGTTGAATTCCAAATGTTGAAATTGATGCACAAGTTTTCTAAAACACCAATATTTTGCTATTTTATTCATTACAAGAAAACAAACAATTTCATCTTTTGAAATTAATGTCCCCTGAGGTGCATTTGGTGACAAACGAATGGTCACCATATGCCACGGATTTCAAGATTCAAGCGAATCTCTGTGCGTCAATGGCACATCTTTTGGCATATATAGGACACACTGGTGCTATTTTTATATTAACCAGACCCAGTGAAACATACAATATAGTATTTCTTCAATATTATATTGCATAGGACTGGGTTCAACAGATGCCACCTCCATATTTCTTATCACATGACATCTATACTGATGGCGGATTGGCTTTAAAAAAGGTAGCATTGACCGGTTTCCTGGGTACCCCTGGTACTGGCGTTTCCCCGCATTTAGACGAAACTTGTGATACTTTTATGACAGTACAGGTGAGTAAACGTAATATTGATTTCATATGGCCATTAAGAATTTGTAATCCATTACCATAGTGATCAAGTAATAGGGGGTGAAATGGTCATAAAGTTATGAAATTAAACTGAATTCATATACTGTAAAATACTTTATTTTAGCTGGAATTAATTTTCAATGAAAAGAAATTTTTGCTATTTTGTATGAAGTTTATTTTCATTGATTTTTGATTTGTAAAATATAGAGGGGGGGTATTTAAACTGGGTTTTATTTTAGCTGGAATTAATTTTCAATGAAAAGACATTTTTGCTGTTTTGTATGAAGTTTATTTTCACTGATTTTTGATTTGTAAAATATAGAGGGGGGTATTTAAACTGGACTTTATTTTAGCTGGAATTAATTTCCAATGAAAAGACATTTTTGCTGTTTTGTATGAAGTTTATTTTCACTGGGAAAAAAAGTATTTACACTGGATTGTATTTTTACTGATTTATCTCTTCAGCGTGTGGAAATAAATTCCAGTAGTGAAAATAAAGTACTTTACAGTAGAGCCATTCTAAAAATGTCAACCAGTTTCATCCAGTATTGCCTAGGCAACACAGATTTGCTTTATCAAATTCAAATGTTCTAATTATCACATTTATCTTACCAATTTATTACGTTCACACTGTTCATCGGCATTGCTTGTATCACATATTTTCACTGCTCTCTGAATCAAATGCAGCGGTATTTTTGTTTTCAAATGATGAAATATGAAAACGTTTTATTTTCACTGGTATTTAATTTCAGTATTTTGATGCTTTGGGCAACTGGGTTTAATTATAGGGGATTTTACTTAAATTAAAAACCACTGATTAATTAATGAATTAGTTATGAAAAATATGAACATTGTAAGCAATACACATCTTTCCAGGACTGTAATCTACAATTCAAACCTACTGTAGAATACTTTATTTTCGTTTGGAATTAATTTTCGTTATTTTCGCTGAAGGAATGATTCAGGAAAAATAAAATCCAGCGAATATACCTTTTTTCCTATATTTTACCTTCAATTCGTCAAAAATCAGTAAAAAATAAATTCCATACAAAACACCCAAAAAGTGTTTTCAGCGAAAATTAATTCCAGCTAAAATAAAGTATTCTACAGTATCTGATTTTACCACTTTTAAAATTTAGCTATCTGGTGTGAAGAACTGGAGTGTATCTTGGCCAGTAAAGGTTGGAGATGAACTGAAGTGGGACAAACCCCGACTTGTAACGCTGTATCCTGGTGAGTTTTAAAACAATACCCAGACACGTAAAACTATATGCTATAATTTTATATATGCTTTATACCTTTAATTATGTAATTTGCATGTTTTCTCTTTCCTAGGGGAGGCTATGTTTTGGTATGTCAGTATGCGCCATCATACAGAGGTAGTTGATGGATGTTCACTCAGCTTTTCATATCAGTTTAACACTCCGCCCACTCTCTATTTTAAGAATTTGTTGGAGACTCTAAATTCTGTGCCAAGGAAAGAACGGGATAGACTCTATGCCAGTACGCATGCTTCACGACTTGACTTTGTTGATGTTTGCAGTATAGTTACAAACAATGGCAATGAGTATATAGTTTGATGTGAACTGTTATACTGCCCTCTTGTGGAATGCCTGAGAAGTGGCCTCACTGGCAAAGATTATATGTATTCTCGGGAGCAGAGCTATGTCACAAGACGTTCCACGTTTCTAAGACTCGCACCACTGTACCACTTATTTCTATGGGCTCTGCGCGCGCTGCTGAGGAACGCGTAATGCCGAGCGAAGAGCCGATGAAAATTCGTGAAAACAGGAATCTTGAAGTAATCCTGAACAATGAAATTTAGCTGCGTTACACACGCAGGGGTAATCTTGTTACACTGTTCAGGGGAGTCTCAACCACCTTCCTAAAGTACCATTTTCTGAGAGTTTTCAGCCTTTGTTTTCACCGTGATGGTTGCCATGCGGTGAAAATGTCTGGATGTCCGCCCGAGAATACATGTATTTAGAAGTTTGATTGGTTGATAAGACTTTTGTTCTGATATGTACTGTATGTGTGTTCATATTCAGTGAAATACAGGATTTAACATTTTCACCACCAGACTTTCCCGCTCAAATTTTTCTGCACTTTTTTCTTATATTGTTCAATATTTCTAAAAAATGAACCCTAAGTTTTGAGCTAACAGACAAAATTTGAGTCTATTTTCAGTTTTTATTCAAAAAATTTGGCTATTTTTGTCCCAATCTTCTGAAGGAAAGTACAGACTATAAACATGACTATGATAGATAGTATTATTTATCACCTTGGTGATGGTGTGAATCTGGGATACAGTTGATTTGTGTATGTATGATTGTAATGGATTTATTCAAACTATTCGGTCATGTGATGGTACTCACATGATGGTAGTCACATGATTGATGAATATTTTCTGTGATTTTGTGAGTATACCTCATTATATTTTGTAAAACATACATAAACCTGTTATCATCATGCTTTTTTTTACTACTGGTATGTTAGAATCAAATTTGCAGTAATTCAAATATTCAGTGCTTTGTCATTGGTTTCGAAAGTTCAAAACAGGGATTTATAATTTGACTTCATCTGGCCAACCGCCTGGAGTCATATTTTCAGAACCCTCTACACCAAATCCATCCATCCTTTGCATGTACCTGGTACTTCATGTGGGAAATATGCACATGCAGTGGTTTAGTGATTAGATCCAAGATGTCTGACTGACAGCCATTTTGTTTTTTTAAATGTGGTATCTTGGACATGCTTTGTCAGTTTTTGTTCAAATTTGATACACACAGTCACTATACCATAACAGTTATCCATGACAATTTTTTTACAATTCGTTCCTATATCCTATATCTCCAAGACTTTATGGACAATTTAGATTTATATTTGGCACATATATCATACATGTTCGAATACATGTCCATCTCAGTTTGTTTCATAAACAGATCAAAGATGGCCGACTGGCAGCTATCATGTTTTTTGAAAATGTATCGTTGATATGCATGATGATTTGTTTTATGATTTGATCAAAGATGGTCTACTGCCAGAATTCTTACTTTTTGGCCTTGCATATCTCTGATACCTGTGTACAGTGTCATATTTTTGTCAGATTCATCATAAAACACTCCAATTTTTTACTTGTAAGAATACCTTCTAAAGGTTATATTAATTGTTCATAGTAAAAAAATAAAGAAAATTAAAAAAAAATATTTAAGAAATGTACATAAAATATTTAGAATAACATGAGTGATTTTGTTTTTGAATGGCTTATTATCTCGTACAACTGGTTCCAACTGCTGTTCTAAGACTTTGTAGGTACCAATGCAACTTGCTACGGGTGACTCTTTTGACTCTCAGAAGCAGCAACATTTACACATGACGTGCACGCACTCGTAGACAAAAACAGCACACTGCATTCGGGCCTGAATAAAACGAAATATAACAATCATATTACACTTCCGGTAAAATAAACAATTTAATGAAACACGTATGTATGCGCTATACATAAACTTGATGAAATAAATAGAAGCACTATACTTGGTATAGGACGTCATCAAATACAGGAATACTGTGCGAAATTATAGTTTTCAGCGTTAGCCACGTACACTGTGTGGCAACTACGGTCGATCGACCGACTGATCTGTTGTTGAATGTTTATCTCCCGATTCAAGTATTCACATAAAACATAACACGTCCCAAGTAATTCAAGACTCCGTGTTGGGAAGATAATGTTAGTGTTGTTCGACCTGTTCACAAATTAAAGGTAATTCTTCGAGAAAACGCCGACATAACTTTACATCTTTGACCTCTGAGAAGTTAACGCACAAATATATTGATTCTACCAGTATAAACTACTCATTTAGACTGGCAGGCAAAAAAAATTCCTAGAAACGAAAGAATATGTAAACTCTGCACAGATGATGAAATTGAAGACGACTACCATTTCTTAATAGGATGCAGTAAATATGACATACCCCGTAATAAATTATTTAAATATATAGAGGACAAAAAATCTGACTTTTTAAAAATGAATGAAAAAGAAAAATTTCGATTAATTATGACAGGCTTTGCAGGAATAGAAACTGCATAATTCATACATAAAAGTATGAACTTAAGAGATGAAACATAGCAACTCCATCAAATTAGTCTGCAGGTAGTTTTAATGCAATGGCATATTTAGTAGCTTAGTAGTTCTATTATACTAATTTTCATGTTTTTTTTCTTCCATTCTTAGTTACATTTATTCAATGTTTTATACCTGATTTTGGTGGAGTGAACTGTATTTCAGTTTTGCTTTGTTCTAAACAATAACATTAGCTTGTCATGTTTTTCCTTGTTCTATAATTACTTGTATTTAATGTGCTATTTGTGATATTAGTTGTGTGAAGTATTATTTCTGTTTTTTGTTTTACAACCATAGATGTAGTAGATTTTCGTGTTGAATAAAATTATTATTATATGCTAGAGATGGTATCCATCTACATCAAGGTGGTGCAAGTATTCTTGCATTAAATTATATCAGCAAACTGAAATCTGTTTCCATAAAAAGAATTGATTATTCAAGACATCACAACAGACGTGTAAAAGTAAAGCCTCAACAGAATACTGCCAGATCTTACTACAGACAACCAAGAGGATTCAACAAAAGGAATAGCCAATCATACTACAACAAATATGATAATTTTGATTTCGGCTACAATGCCAAAATGTGGAATAATACCACAAGTTGGCGAGATCAGCAGTACATGCTGCCACAGCACCATCAGCAATACCCAAATAATTATCAACAACAAGGGTATCAACAACACATGTATTCACCACAGCAAAACAGACAACAGTACCAGCAGCATTCACAAGGAAGGGGAAATTTCAATGGTTAATCACCACCTTGGCAAAGAAATAACCGTTACCTGGAGGAGATAAACCATTCATATTAACACTTAATGCAAAGACTAAAGATTGCTTCATGGAACATCCATGTACCTGGGGGGGGGGATTAAATTACTCACTGTTACTAAATTTTATTAAAGGATTCGTTGAATCATGGTTAGATAAGGATTGTAGAATAGATTTCCCAGGATTTAACTTTTTACATAGTGATAGATTAAAGCGTAGATGTAGAGGTAGAAATTCAGGTGGAGTTGTAGTCATCTTTAAATTAAAACTGCAAAAAGGAATCACCAAAATTAACAGTTCTCATAGTGATTTCTTATGGATAAACATACAAAAATCATTTTTTGGGCTAAAAAAAATGACTTGTATGTTTGTTTTTGTTATATTTCCTCAGAGGGGTCAAGTGTTTATGATACATCTACAATCTCGGGTCTTGATATTCATGATCTTTTAGAAAAGGATATTGCTAAATTTAACAAATTTTGAGATATTGTGTTAATGGGTGACTTGAATGCAAGGAGTGGCTTGCTGAAGGACTTTTGTAATGATAGTTATAATAACTTGCCATTACCAAACCATTTTCCCATAGATGATGTGTATAAAAGGAATAATATGGACAACCATATAAACAGCTTCGGTGAAGCAATGGTAGAGTTATGTCGTAATAGTAACTGTCTCATTTTGAATGGGAGAGTTCCAGGTGACTCCTTGGGAAAAATTACTAGTCACCAATTTGGGGGAAGTAGTCTTGTTGATTATGGAGTAATTAGCAGTTCCATATTTAGAGATGTACAGTATTTCAAAGTTTGGCCACTTAACCACCTTTCAGACCACTGTCCTATCTCGTTGTCTCTCACTGCAAACTTCAATCACGACATTAAAAATACTTATAGCAACATTTCCCCATTACCAGGCAAATTTATCTGGGATGAAAATGGGTGTGAAAATGTTGTCAAGGCTATCTCAAATAACACTGTGAAAAAGAAAATTGATGCCTTCCAGTCTCATGATTATGAAAACATAGATGAAGCTGTTAGTCATTTTAATGATATTATAACCAGTGCAGCCAAAAGTTCATTAAAGCTAATTCATCCCAGGGTAAGGAAAAATAATAAAACCCAAAAATAAAAACAATGGTTTAATAATGATGTTACCTCAATGCGTATAAAATTAATTCATTGCTCACGCTTACTTGACAAATTTCCAAGAGATAACCTTATAAGACAGGAAAGATACAGCATCAACAAAAAGTACAAAAAATTAATTCAAATAAAAAAAAAGAATATATAAGCCGTGTGACAAAATTATGGCACTTAAACAAACAAATTCTAAATTATTCTGGAAACTGTTAGAGGAACTTGGAAATGTTGACAAAATAAATAGTAACAGTGACAACATTAATGTAAACGATTGGTTAGATCACTTTAAAAGTCTAAACAGTGAATCTAATGTTGATGAGAGTAGTTTTACCCATACAGTTAGGAATAGTGTTAGTACACTGGAGAGGGAGAATGTAAATAAAATTAATCTTGATTATGAAATCTCAAGTGATGAAGAAAGAAAGCATATTAAATTAGCGAGCGAGGAAACACAAGTAATAGTTTAATAAAGATTAAGACTTTCCTCGCCAGTTACTAAGCAAGCAGTTATGGCAATGTATATAAGCTGAGAATAGCAAAATACGATCATGAATGTTTCGTCTTGATATTTGCTCAGGGGATTAAGTTACGATCGTTTCCGTGAGCTCCCTAAACATAGTTTTTTTTATGGGATTGGCCGTTTCTCGGAATCTTTATGTGCCCCATAGTTCTAGAGATAAACTTTATGGACTAAATATTGTTTTGTGACCCAGGCGGAGCTCCGATCAGGTGACTTTCAGCCAATCAATGATGCTGTAACCAAGTAAAACCTCAGGTAATGATATGATCTCAAATGAAATGTTAAAACATGGTGCACCATATCTCATTAATTTAATTGCCAAATTATTTTGTTTAGTTTTAAAGTCAGGCAAATTTCCTGCATTATGGAACTGCAGTTTAACTATCCCTATTTATAAATCAGGAGACCGAGCTGATTTCAATAATTATAGAGGCATTGCCATCTCCAGCTGTTTATCCAAACTTTATACATGATAGCAGTTTGATGAAATTGTTTTCGCGTATCTGTTAATCGACTTAATTAGCTGATTATTAGCGAATGGCTGTGTTATGTCTGTCATCGTTTAGGCAGGCGAGGTCCTGGACGGAACTCGACTCAGTGATTTGGAACTAATTACGAGATAACCGTCGCTATTCGGACTACTATTTCTGACAGTTGGTATCCGTAGTTATTAATGTAGTGAACGATTAATCAAAAGATATGACGTATTCAGTACTTAGTGTGATTGGCTTTATGATTGAAGGTTACGCCCTAGAGTCTTTTTACTGCTTTGTAATTGGTTAGTGTTTTGAAAATGAATAAAAAGTTGTTTTAGTTGGTCTTGGCGAGCACGACAGACGCAGTCCAGTCCTAGAGAGTCTTGGGGCGAGCCTTGAGGCAGTCCAGTATTGGGCTAGTCTTGGGTCAGCCTTGTGATAGTCTTGGGGACTTTCCCCCAGGGCGCTGTGTCTTATAGAGTGCTCGACTGACCGACTAAGACGAGAGTTGAAACGTATTTTGTTGTGTGCATCTATTTGACTGTAAAGTTTAAGTGACTTTCCCGATCTCGTACCTCAAAGGGACGTGACATAGAAACGAGACGAGATTCCCCCCTGGCACGTGTGGAGAACCCAGAGGAGAAGAATGTTCCCCTCATAGTTACTTTGATATGTTAGTGTGTGTGCCATGCACACTTATTATAAATATTCGTAACCAGTAATGATAGCTTTAATTGCCCATTGTATACTTTATATTGGACATTTCAAATTGCAAATTGTTTTTTCTATCTGGCAAATAAATTTAGCAGTTTATAAATATACAGTATATAATACCCTATGTATAGGGTTAAAAAACAACTATGAAAAACATGGCCCGGCATATAGTTATGAACTATTTATAGTTATGCTCATTACGCAAATCGTTTATACACAATTTGGTACTAGTATATATTTGTCAATTTGAAGTGAGCAATATTATACATGTATCATTAAAACAGATCCACTATCTAATATCATACAAAACAACTGTTTGTTTTTGTGGTTTGGTGTGATTGTTTGTCTAGTAAACTTGTTTTGACATTTTTTGCTGACATGACTAGAACATCAGGGCGGGTTCGACATGCCCGCAGCATATGCTTCACGTGCGCCTGGTATTACTCCCTTAGGGGGTGGGTTTATGATGTTCCGATTCCATCGATTTTGTTAGTATATTTTTCTTGACTACTGATTGTTGAAGAATGGCTAATTGGTACTTCTATAATTAGTCAAGTCGTCAAGTCCACGAGACGAACAATTCACTAAAATGTGAGTGTGGACTCGATTAGCATGGATATATTGCTACCAACTATCGATATCCACTTGGAATGCAAATATGTGAATTATTTAGTCAATGAAACATACGTACAGCCATTTAAACTAACATTCTAGCATATGTATTTAACCAGATATGTGTACATTTACCATTCAGTAACCATATTGGACGCCATCTTGAATTTGAAGGTGACCGCAATGATTTTTGTTGAGCACACCAAAAAAATATTGTTTATCATAGGACATAGAAGCAAAATAATATAATGAACGTAGTTTGTAGGGTGGGTACAATTACAATATTTATATTACCATAATAGTGTGACATAAATTGTAAGTTAAAAGTACAGAGCCCTGGCTGTGTGAAATAAAAGCGCACATGTTTGGATACGTTGCAACAACCCATTGCACATGTTTATTTTTAAGACCGCTGATACAGTCACTGGATTGTGTTGTCAGCAGAATTTGAGATACATACATCCTGTCTCTCCCTGTGGCATAATGGTATGTCTCAGACAGTGACATGGTGATTGTGAAATACCTTGGAATGTGCTGAGCCCAGTGTTGTTGGCAATGAAAATAGATATGACATCATTGACCCGAGTCTCCTACTTTAAATTGGTAGAGCTTGGATTAAGAGTGGTTTATTCCACTACCAAAATTGGCATCCTCTGTACACTGATTTGT